GGGACCACAGTGAGCACTCCCCCAGGGAGGTCCCCTTAGCAGGTCAGGCTGATGGCGATGCTTGTCTTGGACAAACTCAAACCCTAGCGCTGCTAGAGACTCCTCGGCCACCACCTTCTTAATCTCGACGGCCCCATGGCCACATATAAATAGGGGGGATCCGAAGGGATCCTCAAGCTGAATCAAACTAATAATACACCCATATAATTCTCGACTTGTTATTCCGATTTTATTTCTTGTGTTCCATTCTTTTGAATTGAATCATTTGGTGGATTTATTGTCCATCACCATCCTTTTAAAATTTTTGAGGATTACATTATTTACATTAAGATAAATATTCTAGTAACAAGGCTTGATCATCAAATAAGCCAGCCTTGCCTATCCATAAACAAGTCTTTGGCATTCATGAATGAGCCTCTTAGAAGAAAGTAAGTAATAATCAAGCTTTGTATGTCCTCAGCAAGGTATAAAACGAGCCTCAATTATTTGAGCGAGGCAAAAGCAATATGTAATGTTTTCTCGATTTCTTTGAGAAATAATTTTATAATTTTATAATTCATAATTTTTATAATTTTAATTCTATATTTAATTTTGCATGAAATTTTTTTATTTAATTCTATATTTCGGGCCGGTCCCGGTCCGAACCAGCCGGTCCGGTCCGGTTTTTAAAACTATGATTCATAATCAAGCTTTGTCCGTCCTTAGCAAGGTATAAGCGAGCCTCAATTTCCCAATGGACCGGGAGACTCCTTATTTCCTTGGTGACAGTAAGGCTCGGTTTAACGCGAAGTTAGAAAGGGCTGATTATCAACTTTCTTAAATTTTTAAATAAAATTTTTTCATGCAAAATTAAATATAGAATTAAAATTATAAAAATTTTAAATTATAAAATTATTTGAGCTTGATTATCACTTACTTTCTTCCAAGAGGCTCGTTCATGGATGCCAAAGACTTGTTTATGGATAGGCAAGGCTGGCTTATGGATGATCAAGCCTTATTTCTAGGATATTTATCTTAATGTATATAATGTAATCCTCAAAAATTTTAAAAGGGTGCCTCTCTCTCTCAATTCATAGGTAAAGATTGGCATGTCCTAGTGGAATGTAATGTAATGTAATCAAATACCCCAGTATAGATGTTTAGTCTCTCTATAAGTTCCATGAAAGGTGATAACGAGCCCTTTATAACTTCCTATCATCAAGGGAAGAAAAGGTGTGAGTGGTCCATTGGGATGACTTCTCAAATAAATCGAGCCACCTTCAAATCTTTTTTATTTGAAGTGCCAACTTATTTCTAAATAGTTTTTTAATGAAGTTTTCCAAAGCTTATAATACTTCCCATGGACATTAATGTACGGAACATATATTTTATTGTTTACAATTGTATTGAATACTCTAAACATTTGGTTTTTAAAATTGTTTCTTCTTCATGGATCCTCACTTTACTCATTTTATAGTAAATAATAGGAAAAATTCACATCATTACTCCCAAAATTACACAATTTTACATAAATACTCCGAGATTTAATAAATGACATCCATGCTCCCAAAATTTTCGTATGTTTACATCAATACTCCAACATTGAAATATGTTTACATCGGTGCCCCAACATTTGGAGCATAGCTATAAACATAAATGAATTCTTAGAGCAGCGATGTAAACATATGAAAATTTTGAGAGTATTGACGTCATTAATTGAATCTCGGAGTATTTATATAAAATTGTGTAATTCTGGGAGTAATGATGTGAAATTTTCCTAAATAATAAGTGGGTACGAGTCTACTATGTAAAAAAACATAACTTCTATGGAGGCAAAATCAATATCATATCATCATATATATCATATCATATCATATCATATATCATATATATATTTATAAAGTAGAGCGGCTTAAATGTGGTAACGACACGTGCCACGCTACACGTGTACATTTGTAACACATGTCATGCCACATGTGTATCACATGCCACATGGCATGCCATGCATGCATATTAATTTTTATATTAAATAATCACTATTTTTCATTATACTTTATAAATCCCTTCAATTTATAAACTTTCACTTTCTAATTTTAATAATATATTTTGTATTATATTTTCATCATTGTAGTATATTTTAAAGTTCGAAAACTAAATTCATTAATTTAAAAATTTTAAATAAGTTAGTATTTTTTATAATCCAAAATTTATATTTCTATTACTTCTAAAAAGCAATTTCATTAATTTATCACATATGCATCTTTTTTTGAGTGTTATTGACTATATTGCATAAGCATCTTTATTAACTATGTGATATACATTTTAAAACTTTAGATTTATTTTATTATACACCCTCTGTCCTAAAACTGACTTCTCAATTTACGAGATTTGACTGAAATTATTTTAAATTCAATTTGTTTGATTAAATGTAAAATTTTAAAATAAAACTTTTATATTTAAAACTGCATCAAAGTTTTAAAAAAATAGATTACGTGACGTTATTATTTTATCAAATGAGTAACGAAAATAAAAGGTAGAATGTTACATTTTAGAATGTTTACGAGCCCGTGGGAACCACGGGGTTAATACTAGTATAGTATTAAATGGCACGTAGTAAATGGTTTTTTGGGATGGGCAGAGTATCGTACTCTATTCTGAAATAGATTACAATCTGTTTTCTCTCTCATCTCGATAACTTTTCTTTATTTGTGTCTTTTCATTAAATATTTGATAAAATAAAATATTCTTATCATCTCTCATTTTATAGAACTTTTGTCGCAGTTTTCAAATATGTAATTTTTATTTCTTATTCATATACCAATTTATAAATAAAATAACTTCAAAACACGAGAAATTTCGTCTTGTAACTTCCAATTTGTAATCAAATTAGGGAGAGTAGGGAGGAAGTATATTTTATCAATATACTCTATAATTCTACAAAATACTTCCTCCGTTCCTTATAACAATTCATGTTTTGACTTGGGAGAGATTTAACTTTATAATTTGATATTATAATTACTCTTATTATCGAAGAAAAAAAGATAGACAAATCATTTAAATGAGCTATTATATCAATGCAAATTGAATGAAATATATTGAAAAAACTTAATTTAGATATATTAGTCATTTTATATATAAAAAAAGGAAGTATTTTTTGGTATATACTACCTCCGTCCCAGATTATTTGTCCACTTTCATTTTTACATATAATCGAATACACTTCTTTAATCCATTTTATCTTGTAAATTGTATATTAAAAAATTATAGAAATTATATATTAATAATCTATATATTAAGATTAATCAAACAAGATTACACGTCACTATATTTAGGCTTACACATTGAGAGAATTTGATGAGTCAAAGTACTTAGATGAACAATTCCAAAAGTCAAAACTGGACGAATACTCCAGGAAGGAGGGAGTATATAATTAAAAACTTGATATTTTAAAACTATTCTATACATAGTTTTCAGAATCGAACAGGTAATCGAACCGGTCAAGGCACTGGTTCGCTGGTCGAACCAGTGGTTCAAACATCTTTAATATACATACATACATATATATATATATATATATATATATATATATATATATATATATATATATATATATATAATATGTATGTTGATTTTTTTTCTCTCTAGGAATTCTCTACCTTCTTATGCCGGCCACCACCTCCGGCGGAGTAGCTGGCAGGGCTACTCCGTCCACCTCCACTCTGCACACCCTTCAACAACCTCCTCAGCTTCAAAAATCCTTCCTTCAAGCTCTCCGTAATGACTGCCATGAACATATTCTCTTTCCCACAGATAATCCTCCTGAAAAATTTAAAAGGCTTCCCTGCGTTGCATTTTCCACTGAAGAAGTTCATGCACTGGCACAAAGGTTCTCTCGTGCTCTTGTAGGAACCTTTTTTTATGGCAGACCTAGCCTACAATTCATCCGCCACTTTTTCGAAAAAATTGGTTTCAATGAGTTTTCAGTGGTACTCATGGACAACACGCACATCCTCATCAATTTTTCCAGTGACAATGACTTCCACCGCTGTTTCAAAAGACAAGATTGGAAAGTTGGGAACTACCACATGCGCATATCAAAATGGACTCCAGACTTTGATCCAAGGTATGAATCACCAATCCTTCCTATATGGATATCCATTAAAGACCTCCCTATCCACTTTCACTCCAAATCGTCCCTGATGAGGATTGGTAATCTGTTTGGCAAGGCTCTTAAGATAGATGCCACAACAGAGAATTTTGGTCGCCCTTCCACTGCTAGGGTGTGTGTGGAGGTTGATATTTCCAAGCCCCCTATCACCAAGTTCTATGTTAAAAATGGCCCCAACCCCCTACTCCTCACAGCTACCTTTGAAGAACTTCCAGAATATTGTGGGGAATGCAAGGGGGTTGGGAGGCACAACTCCCAATGCAAGTTCTTCAAACCCCAAACTGAAAACTTGAAAACTCAGGCCAACCAGACCACTGTCAACAACTATGATGGCCGGAAAATACCCCTCGAAACCTCCATGCAGCAAAAATAAAAGCCCAACCCCAGTCAGTCAGGTAAACAAACACTCCAAGTCAAAAAACCATCCCTGCCCAAGTATAACTCAGGAGGGCCCCAAATCCCACTGCCAAACACTCAGCCAACCCCACCACTTAATCCCACCAGCAATAATAACACTTCCCTTTCAATTCACGACAGTATCCCCTCTACATCAATCCATGTTACTTCAAAACCCATAACAACCAAGCCCAATAACACCTTAACTCCACAGCCCAAAAACTCCCTCACAGAAATCCCTACACCCAACCCAATATCCATTTTAAATCAACCCAGCCTCCCCACTGAAATCCCTACACCCAGCCTAATAAACCCCATTAACAACCCACCCAATAATAACCAACCCATCTCAGGCCTAAACATCTCAACACCCAAACAACCCACCCTACCCACTGAAATCCCTCCACCCAGCCCAATAACCTCAACAACAATAATAACCAACCCAGCCTAAACATCCCAACACCCAAGCCTTTTCTTAACCCTCAACCCTCAACATTTCAACCAACCTCAGAAAATTTCTTGGAGGAAGCTGACTGGGAAATCCTGGTCCACAATGATATTCTTGCCAAATGTTTGGTGAGTTGGGAAGAAAATCAGCAACTCAAACTCACAGCAAATCAACCCCCTACTCCCCCTCACACCTCTCTTGATGACCTGCATTTACACATATAAAATTTATCATTAACTCCCATATACATCTCAGACACAGAACCTCATCAAAAACAAGAACCCCTGAAAACTTACCCCTTTTCTGAGCCCCACCTTGGCCCCTCCACTTCAGATTCCTCAGCCTGCAAACAACAAGACAGACCTGAAAGTAAAGATAACCAGGTTAGGTCAGAAGAGGACATTCATGAACAACCTTTCACAACAGTTATAAGGAAATCAAAGAGATTACAAGAGAGGTTCTCCTCACACAATTAACCCCAACACTTCTCCCAATGAATGTGCTCTTCTAGAACATTTGTGGTCTACCCTCCTAACTTCAGAGGCTGGCCATCCTAATTTCCACCCACAAAGTCACCTTCTTAGCCATCATGGAACCTAAAACCACTGCTAAGAAACTCACTCACTTTCAACTGATTCTGGGCTTCAGCCACTCTAGGTCTTCTATGGACAATAGAGTCTGGGTCATGTGGAAAGAGGATAACCTAATCTATCAACATCATCAGGAGATGGATCAGGCTATCAACATATACTTCACTTACCATAACAACCCCATCACCATCACAACTGTTTATGGGAAATACTCAGTCACCGACAGACAACGGCTTTGGGATTACATCACTGCTACTAGCCTTAGCATGCATAATCCTTGGGTGATTGGGGGAGACTTCAACTCAGTAGACCAGCACAAGGGCACTAACACCCCTTGCCTTAGGAGCATCTATGACTTTGACAAATGTATCATGGATGTCTCTCTCATCTCTCCCATTGCCACTGGCTCTACCTTTATTTGGACAGGTGTAAGGTCCCTAGGTAGAATTTGGAGAAGGATTGACAGGGTATTCCACAACAACCATACTCTTAATTCCTTCCAGGAAATCTCCTGCAGCCACCTGCTCAGAAGTACTTCTGATCATAACCCTCTCTTAATCAAGCTCAGCAACACCCATTTTACTGGCCCCAAACCCTTCAGATATATCAACTGTTGGAGCACCCACAACAGTTTCCTATCTACTGTAAGCAATAGCTGGGGCCCCTATACTGGTGGAGGGATGAGAGGACTGGGTTACAAACTGAAAAACCTTGGATTTACCCTCCAAACATGGAACAAGAACACTTTTGGTAACATATTCAACAGGGCTAGCTTTCTGGAAGGGGAACTGAAAGTAATTGAAGAACAATTTGACACCCACCCAACCCCAGAAATGAGATCTCTCATGCAAGAAACAAAGGCTAAACTTATTATTGCTACCCAACAAGAGTACTCCTACTGAAAACAAAAAGCAAATATCAAATGGACAAAAGAAGGAGATGCAAACACAGCCTTTTTTCACTCCACTGTCAAAATCAGAAGAAGCCAACAAAAGATAAATAGCCTCAAGTCTAAAGATGGAAAATGGCTCCATAACCATGAGGAGATCCATGAAGAAATCCTCAACCACTACAAAACCATTTTCATGTATAAAGAATCCCACAATGACAGATTCACTGCTAATATTCCTAACCTTATCACTCAGATGGACAACAACAGCCTCACCTCCCTTCTAGATGAAAATGAAGTAAAAGAGGTTGTTTGGACACTCTCAGCAGACAGTGCTGCTGGGCCTGATGGGTTTAATGGTCATTTCTATAAAACTTGTTGGGAGCAAATCAAAGTGGACTGCACAAAAGCTGTCCAAGAGTTTTTCTTGGGGATCCCTATCCCCAAAATCTGTGCCCAGACAACTATCATACTAATTCCAAAGAAGGAAAACTCTCAATCCTGTGAGGACTATAGACCTATTTGCTTGTCAAATTTCTGCTGCAAGATTTTCTCCAAAATCCTCTCCCAAAGATTGAGCTCCATCCTTCCCAGATTGATCTCACCTGAACAAGGGAGATTTGTAAAAGGAAGGGTGATCCATGACCACGTCCTCCTCACACAAGAACTCTTCCATGGCCTTGACTACAAAACAAGGGGGGTAACCTTGCCATCAAGCTGGACATGTCTAAGGCATTTGATAAAATTTCTTGGAATTTCCTTATCACTGTCCTGGAGAAATTTGGTTTCAATAACACCTTCCTAACCCTCATCCAGAACCTTCTCCACAGCTCTCACTTCACCATCCTGATCAATGGCCATCACACCAAAGCTTTCAAACCTAAAAGAGGATTGAAGCAAGGAGACCCTCTCTCCCCCTCCTCTTCATCCTTGCCTCTGAAGCCTTCAGCAGAACTATAAAAAAGGAAACTGCATCTGGATCCTTCTCTCCATACTACCTTGGTAGGCATTATACCCCTATTACCCACCTAGCCTTTGCAGATGACCTTATCCTCTTTACTAAGGGTGATTCCCCTACAATCACTAGAATCAAAATGTTACTTTCTGACTATGAAGACTGCTCTGGTCAACAAATCAATCGGGGAAAATGCTCTTTCTACATCCCTAAGAAGACCCCCCTTGCTACCCAAAAAAGAATTCAAACTATATTGGGAATGAACAAAGGCAGCCTACCCTTCAAATACTTGGGCATCCAAATCCATCATGGAATCAACAGAAAACCCTACTGCCATGACATCCTCAACTTGTTTGACTCTAAACTTAAAGGATGGTACCATAAGCTGCTTAGTCAGAGTGGGAGGTTAACCCTCATCAAGCATGTCCTAAACACCATGCCACTTCACATGTTGGGCTGCAGTAAACTCCCTAAGAGCATCATCAAATGTCTACATTCCAAAATGAATAACTTTCTTTGGGGACATGACAAAGACAACAAGAAGTACCACTGGTCCTCTTGGGAGAAGCTATGCTTTCCTAAGGATGAGGGTGGGTTGGGAATCACTGATCTCAATACACTTCAACTAGCCTATNTGGTACCATAAGCTGCTTAGTCAGAGTGGGAGGTTAACCCTCATCAAGCATGTCCTAAACACCATGCCACTTCACATGTTGGGCTGCAGTAAACTCCCTAAGAGCATCATCAAATGTCTACATTCCAAAATGAATAACTTTCTTTGGGGACATGACAAAGACAACAAGAAGTACCACTGGTCCTCTTGGGAGAAGCTATGCTTTCCTAAGGATGAGGGTGGGTTGGGAATCACTGATCTCAATACACTTCAACTAGCCTATAGTTTCAAAATGTGGTGGACATATACTCAGAACAACTCCCTTTGGGCAAACTTCATGAGGGCTAGATACCCTAGGGGTCTTTCCATAGCCCCAAAAATCATTGACTCAGTCTAGTGGAAAAGACTTTATGAGGTCAATAATATGGCAGATAACCACTTGAGCATTGACAACCAGGGCAGAATTCTATGGCATAATAGAGAGGTTGGTTTCAGCTTAAAGAAGGCAAAGAATTCTTTGAGAGAGAAAAATCCCATTGACCCCTTCACCTAACTTTCCTGGATTCCCAAACAAAACCCTAAAAACTCTATCTTCCTTTGGAAACTGTGTTTTGGCTACCTCCCCCTTCCCCACTCACTAACTAGATTGGGACTTCAACTCCCCTCTATTTGTTTCTTGTGCAGGAACAGTGAGGAGACTACCACCCACCTATTCAAGAACTGCCCATTCAGCAACCAAATCTAGAACTACTTTGAACAAATATTTTCAATTTGCAGGAATACCAGCCATGGAATCCTAACCTACTTGACAAACTGGTGGAAACAAGGGGAACTGAAAAAACTTAACAAAGAACTCCTCAAAATCATTCCAGGAATCATAACCTATGAGATATGGAAAGAAAGAAACAGGAAGATTTACGAGGAAGAAGAACACACCTTGACACAGACAATTACAATCATCACAAAACAGATCTACGAATGGATTTTCATTCACCATAAGGGAAAAACAACACCGGATATCAGAATTTATGAAAGGTTACCTTCAATTAGGATGAGCGCAATCACTGTACATCGATGGGTAATCCCAGTCACTGGTGTTACACTTACAACGGACGCGGCAATCAGAGAGGGAAGATCAGCTGGAGCCAGCATCCTGCGCACAAGGCATGGCCAATTCCTCATTGCTTGGACCTATCCTCTTCATCCAAATCTCCCACCAGCTGAGACAGAAATGGAGGCAGCATACGAAGGAGTACGCAGAAGTTTGTTTCTTAACTACCCGGTCAATCTCAATATTGACTCCAAAAGTTGCGCAAACAATTTAACAAACTTCTCCAACAATGATTTCTTCACAAGGATGACAAGAGAAATGATAAATCGGTCCGGGGGACGGGTCAATCATATCTTTAGAGAAGCTAATACGGCGGCACATCATGTGGCACAACACGCTTTGCAAGAGAATAACTTCAGTAATTTTCATTCACTAGTTTCACTCCCAAAACGCTCTAGGGGAGCCATTGCATGTGATGTAACAACTTCTTTTATTCGTATGAAATAAAATTTTCCTTTAAAATATTTTATATATATATATATAGATATATATATATATAGATATATATATATATATATATAGACACACACACACGTTTTGGCATTGAATTAAAGAACTAATATATGAGATTATGAGTAAACAAAAAATATTTCCTCTATTTATAAATAAATAATTGATGTTTGACTAAATTTATAATTTACTCGAGTTGTGTCATCACATATTTTAAAATGCTTATAAATAAAAAGTGATTTCATTTTTCTGAAACATTTTACCTAGTATTTAAAATATATATAAACAAAATATTTGTGTGATATGCACTTCATCTCAATTATATCAATGTGTTTTGAATTTTCGTTAAAAAACTCTATATTTTTAAAAGTATTTGATAAAGAATTTTGTAGTTAAAGAATATTAAAGAGGAATAGCAAGGGATCAACACCAAGCATTGTAGCAGAGATGGTATGATGCTTGCTCTATGCGGCCATGAGGTCGTGGGTTCGAATCCTGGCATGTGCGTTTTTAAAAATGTTTGCGAAAAAATTAAAAAAATCGGTTCCGGCCAAAAACCGGCTGGTTTTCTCTGGTTTTAACCGGTTTCTACTGGTTCAATGCCGAAGCCGGTCTAATTGCCCGGACCGGACCGGTTTGATGAGCGGTTCATCGGTTCCCGATCCGAACCGGCCGGTCCGGTCCGGTTTTTAAAAGTATGATTCTATATATATCGTGTAAAATGAATCGATTAGCGAACTAATATATTGACATTCACATCATTCAAATGTAACCGACCATTCTCTTCAGATTGCTGTGATTTGTTGTTTCTCTGGTTCACACGATTCCATTATGTAATGGAAATGAATACGGAGTATTTTACTATTACTTCCGGTCTAATTTCCTTATAATTAAACTTTGAGATCAGTTAATAATATTCCCTCGTGACAAATAGAACTCTGCACTCCCCCTGCAGAAAAAGGAGAGACTTTTATTGGGGGTTATGAATTTATAAACTTCAATGCAAAGTGATCGTTTTCCCAACTTTAATTTTGTCAAAAGTTTTGCAGTATCCTTTACTCCTAGTGTAATTATAAGGAAATATTTGTAGAATATGTATAGTTCCACCGATGACTAATAACGGACTCGTACAGGTGTACTCCCCAAAACTGTTTCAATGGTTTCATACGAGTCCAATACCAAATAAGATGTAAACTTCAAACATACTCCATGGAGGTGTAGGTATGACCAACCAGATCTTCATCAAATGTGAGGTTTGGCTTTTTCCCTAGCCTGAGAGTGTTTTCTGAGAGTAAATCCTCCGCAGCATCCTCACCCCAACTGAATCCATCCTCTATTTTGGATGCACTCTCGTGCCTGACCTCGTGCATGATGTTTGTGAGGTTATAATACCTCGACAATGAACATGCATTCCTAAAAAAGGTTTCTTGATCAAACCAGCTTTGCCGGTCCCCATGTTGGTTCCATCTAGTCTTCCTCCAAGCATCTTGGTTGGGAACAGATAAAGATGGTCACTCTCGTAGTAACTCTTTGTCCAGGTCGGACCCTGGAGGGCAGGCCTTTGGGTCATAAATGGTTCCACTGCGACAGTTACGCGCCTCGGGGCCAAACCAATGGATCACCAACCTATTAAAATCTCCCGCAACATTTTTGCACCCTTCGTGGACTCCGATTAACCTATCAAAAGATTTCACCACCTAGAGGTAAAAAAATTAGATAAAATACGATTAAACCATTAACAAAACAAAAACTCTACAACAAAACGGATAGAGGCAGCAAACCGTGAGGCAGAGGACAAATGGTTCTGGGGAGATGTTAGCTTGTGGTAAGATTACGCCAGGCACTACCACTCGGGGGTGTGTAGGCATATGTGGTGAACTCTGCACTGGCAAGAGGGAATGCCCAAAACATCCAGCCGAAAATGTGCCAAATGACGCCATACTCGGCACTGGCAGGCCTGCAAACAGAAATAATTTACAAACGGAAACTCTAAGGGTCCGTTTGGTACATGGAAGTGGTGGAATTCGAATTGAATGGGAAGGAATTGGAATTGGGATTCCATGTACAATTTCAATTCATTTTTGGCACTATCAATTTCAAATCCAATTCCATAATTTCAACGGGGTATATTGTGTGAATTTGATTTGTGTTACAGTAGTATATAGTTTGGATTTAACTTCTGGTTAAATGTTTAGAGCCGCTCCTTCTCGGCGAATATTAACTGCCCGGATGTTTGCCGGATCCTCCTGTATAATATTATGTTTCCCTTTGATTATTAGGCCCCGTTTGTACTTTGGTAGAAGGAATTGAAATTATGGAATTGGAATTTGATTTGGAATTGATAGTGCCAAAAATGAATTGAAGTTGTACATGGAATCCCAATTCCAATTTAATTCCAATTCCTTCCCATTCAATTCGAATTCCACCACTTCCATGTACCAAACGGACCCTTAGAGTTTTCGTTTGTAAATTATTTCTGTTTGTAGTGCCGACTGCCGAGTATGGCGTCATTTGGCACATTTCCGGCTGGATGTTTTGGGCATTCCCTCTTGCCAGTGCAGAGTTCACCACAGATGCCTACACACCCCCGAGTGGTAGTGCCTGGCGTGATCTTACCACAAGCTAACATCTTCCCAGAACCATTTGTCCTCTGCCTCACGGTCTGCTGCCTCTATCCGTTTTGTTGTATAGTTTTTGTTTTGTTAATGGTTTAATCGTATTTTTATCTGATTTTTTTTACCTCTAGGTGGTGAAATCTTTTGATAGGTTAATCGGAGTCCACGAAGGGTGCAAAAATGTTGTGGGAGATTTTAATAGGTTGGTGATCCATTGGTTAGGCCCCGAGGCGCGTAACTGTCGCAGGGGAACCATTTATGAGCCAAATGACTGCCCTCCAGGGTCCGACCTGGACAAAGAGTTACTACGAGAGTGGCCATCTTTATTTGTTCCCAACCAAGATGCTTGGAGGAAGACTAGATGGAACCGGCATGGGGACCGGCAAAGCTGGTTTGATCAAGAAACCTTTTCTAGGAATGCATGTTCATTGTCAAGGTATTATAACTTCACAAACATCATGCACGAGGTCAGGCAGGAGAGTGCATCCAAAATAGAGGATGGATTCAGTTGGGGTGAGGATGTTGCGGAGGATTTACTCTTAGAAATCAATCATTTGGAATAAAGTAGGTGTAATAAACCAGGAATAAAGCACTGGTCATAAACGCACCTAGGATTACAGAGAACAACATTAACTGCCCATAGCAGGCCGCCTCCGACGTCTCACCTGTGAAAACGCATGAAATTGAAGGAGTTTTGGAAGAAGAAAGACGACAATGAAGTCGCGAGATTCTTGGAAGCTTGGGCCGAGGAAGTTACAGATTTATTACCCTTCTGGTTACGTGGCATGAGTGAGCAAAATTTAATCCATCTCAGCAGCCAACCCCACAACTAAAAACCCTACTTTATTTATACCGGCGGGCGGCGGTTAATGGCGGTTCCGCCCGCCAGAAGCGAAAGCGGGGAAATTTAGGTCACCAAGAACGGTGACTCTGATACCATGTAAAATAACAAATAACGCTTTATAGCTTAAATGAATAGAAGAGGAATACAAAGTATGTATTTATAGGTGGAGGAATATATTCTAGAATCCTCCACATTAATGACTAATTATATAAGGCAATGTTATATAATAATAACTCTAACTATAATAGGTAACAACCATAATTATAATATATAATATTAAATATATTAAACAATTTATATACTCCCTTCGTCCCATAAAACATTTCCTGTTTCAAAAATGACACGCCTTTAAAATGAGTAATTTTAGTGTTAGTTTTTAATTATGACTAATCTATTCTACACATCTCATCCTACTTTTTTATAAAGTAAGGGCAAAATTAGAAAATAACACCAAAATTACTCATTTTAAGGGTGTGCCTTTTTTGAAACAGGAAATGTTTTATGGGACGGAGGGAGTATTTAACAGGGTTAGTGAAAAAGAAGTGGATGAAAGTGTGGTGGGGGAAGGGGTTTTCATATCTTTATCATCATCCTTCTTCCACCACCCCCATAATAACATGATAGAGCTGTTTTGACCCGCACGGGTAGCCCAAGTGACAAGCACTTGGTGAAGTTTGGAGAATGACCAAGGATCGAAACCTGGCAGCGACCGTTGTGGGGGCGACCACCTCTGAAAAATGGGGGGAGTCTTTGGTGCGCACTAGGATATGGTCTAGCTAAATATTGTGCTTGGGTCACCGTGATTTACCTCCTCTAACATTCCCGTCGGGTCGGGGATGAGGGGCGCCCGGGGTGAGCGATTTCACCTTTTGGAGAATGATAGAGCTGTTTTGGCAACTTGCGATTAAATTTAAATTTAAATTTAAAAGAAAAAGAAAAGAAAAAAGAAAAAAGAAAAGAAAAGAAAAAGAAAAGAAAAAAAGAAGTCTTGTATGTCCATATTGGCGTGGCGGTCTGCCTCAAACTCCAAAGTGTCGATCTCCGTATCTCCCACACACCCCCCCCACCTTCTTCCCAGCTTCCACCACCTCACTCCCTCCCACTCCATATATTATCTAATCATTCATATCCGTCCTATTTTATATCTTACCTTTATCTTCAACTCTCTCTCTCTCTCTCTTTCTTTCTTTTTTTTTTAAATAAAAGAGATTAGAAGAAACATTCCTATCTCTTGTTTTCGATCTCTCAGCTGTGAGCCATATCTCAATTCTTCTTGCGGCCATTTTTTTGGGTTAGTCTGATCTCGGCTTTCATTCGCGGGCAATCAACAACTACAATCAGCTAAGCTTGCAACCAACAGTTAGAGAGGATAATTTCCTGCTTATGGTAACAACTGCCCTACTAGCTATATATACCGACCTCATAATTATTGGCACAATATAAATGTACTTTATGTTATTAATTATGTGGTGGCATTACTTAACATTATAAATAAATAAAAAATTCTACTCACTATTTTTAGTGCTATAAACATACGTATTCAAGAACAGCCATTCATTGAGTTAGGTGTTTAATTCTCAATCAGCCAATACATTATGAGAATCAAGTGGTCAGTGATGAGTCTCTCAAACAATCAAACCAATCATTGTTTATGCAAACAACCCTCTAGATGAGACATACTATATGGAGGTGGTAAGGTAAATTCATATGGTCGACCAGCCAGTTAACTTATTACGCCTCTCTAGAAATTAAAGTTATATTCATGAGGCCGATCCACCACTTGGGAATCTCAACTCCACCTGAATTGCCACAACTCAACCAAACTATGAATGTGTCGGGGAAACGACTTTGTCCCTCGAGGATTGGTGTCGAGGTATTGTTTTCCACTGCACAACGTAAATTTAAGAGAATCCCTTCGACTGTTACGTAGCTATGTAAGCCTCTCATCTGTCATGGGGTGGGGTTACTGGAGGGTGGTGGGCTGGCGGTGTTTCCCAAGCTTTCTCTTGTATGTTTTGATTCGACTAAGGTGTTAGGATTCGATGAGATTAAATAGATTTAGCAAGCCTCTTTGGTCAAAGATTGACTTGTTGCTCGCCCGAGAAGCGAGGGGGTGGGATTTACAAGGATTTTCTAAAGATAGTCCATTAGGAATTTCTTATACATGAACCTTTTTTTAGCCTTTGGGGTTCCATTTGGGGGCTTTATGTCGTAAATATCAGGTATTTCATGACTTAATGCACTAATACCAAAGAGAACTATGAGATTTTGTTCCAAGACTAAGGGGCTGTTTGTTTCAGCCTCTTAATGGTTCAGCACTTAATGATTCAGATTGTTTGTTTCAACCTCTTAATAGTTCAGATGTCTGAATGGTTCAGACATTTGCCTCTGAATGGTTAAGTCTTATACAAAGTCTGAATGGTTAAGACCTCTTATCTGAATTGATCAGACTTTTGCCTCTGAATAGTTAAACAATATACTAGATCTTAATGGTTCAGACCTGTCACTGATTTAGCACTTAATGGTTCAGACCTCTTACTGATTTAGCACTTACCTATTCAGAAGTTGCCAAACAGCCCGCCCTAAGGGTAACTCACATATATTAGTCTTTTTAGCCTTTGATTTGTTTTCAACATACTTGGATGAAAATAAAAGATAACTGGGCAATTGCAAGCAAAACAGCATCAAGAGAGAATTTCTGAATTCAATTCAGCTCTAGGACTACAACAATAACATTAAGAGGGAATGAGAGATAGAGATAGAGAGATACATACAGAACTAAGATTCTGATGAAGTAGAAGAAGATGAAGATTTGCTGATGACCAGAAAACTCTTAGAATTCCCAGTCGCAATTGATTTGGCCAGCGAGTAAGCCTTCGCGGCGGCAATCTGAGCTTTCCCTTTCCAGACATTTCTCCGGATTCGTGACTTAGATCGGGACCGTCTCTTCTTCGGAACCGCACAGATCCCGCCGTGTTCGATCTCGTAGAATCCGTCGTCCTCCGCTTCGACTTCTTTTTCTTCTTCTACATCCGTCTTCACCGGATTCAGGCGATCCGAGGCGGCTTCGATTTCATAGGAGAGCGGCTTGGCTGCGTGGTGCAGCGCAGCAGGGAGGGTGATTTTCGAGGGTTTGAGGGGCGAAATGGGAAACGCAAAACGAGTGGGAATGGGGTTTGATGTGGGAATCGCGGAGATGTGAGGTGCGAGGAAGGAGAGAGATGGAGCTGTGGACGCCATTGAAATGGCGGATTTGCTAGAGTTTGATTTATTATTTTTTTTGAGCGTCTGGAAAGGATTAGGATATGAGGAGAATTTTAAAGGACTTGCGATTTGGGCCAGTTTATCATGGTTTGGCTTTAGAGCAAGTAGAAGGGAGAGGGTAAAATGTGGTACTGTAAATCACATTTTACATTTAATAATACTAGTTGTCTACCCCGTGCTTCGCACAGGCTGGGGATTTATTCACGTGTTTATTGTATGCAGATTAGTTATTGCGTGTATTGCGGAAGGAATTTTGTATGGGTCGTAGAATTTCCTTTGGAATCATAATTCAATAATGAGGAATTATAAATGATTTGCACACAATCTAGATTCGTAATAATATTCACAACCTATTACGCTTAGTATGCTCTGTGGGTTTCAATTATCACGTTTTTGGTTGTGTTTTAATAAAAATAAAGAATAGTAAAGTTCCTAAAAATGCCATTAAAATGTTAAAAAAATATAATAGGAGTAAATTAAAGGATGTGTAAAAATAGGATTGTTACTCTTAAGAGGTTAAACCAAGTCCGGGTAGAGGCGAATACGAACAATAGTTTTTCGTGATGAATAAGTCAAACACTGTACTATGACAAACAGTCGTTACAGGCTTGGTTGTATTAAAAAAGAACATAAGGTAAAGAACAAAGTAGAACTAAATCCGTTTTTGTAGTTTATAAACTTGATGTATTATTAGTAAATCTTGCCCTGCCCAATTGGGCATTAAAGAAAGCAAGGATGTATTGGATAAATAAATCTCCATATGCAGTGAGTTTCATCTCCATTAGCATAGTTGTCGATACTTGAATAGTGTTCGAGCAGGTGCTTTTGTAATAGAGCAGAGACATATAAAACCTACATTAATAAAAAACAGAATCATAAGGTTGTGAAAATGGGTGCGTAAAGTATTTTGAGATGTTATTCACATTACACATGTGGGCCTGAAAAGGATTATGATAAATATATACACCGTCTAACAGCAAAGTTGTTCTTGCTTTGTAATTTGTTTTTTAAGTTTAACAAATAGCATCTGGAAATAGAGACAATTGATAAAATTAAAAAGAGACCATAAGAGATGAGATTAACTTAGAATGTCATTTGAATCATGAACCCGTAAAAATCCCATGTCTCTTGTCAGGAGTTTCTGGAGAAACTGTAAAGTAAAACAAATATCATAATATAGTGAGATAATATAGAGTAGGTGATAAATTCCAAAGTAATAGAATAAAATCATGCAGTCAAAGAGCAGCATTGTGGAGAGATGTATCGATGCATGTACCTATGTATTATATCAAAAGGAATATAATAGAATGATATAATAAATTAAACAACGGCATTAGATGTGTCTATCTATTTACCTATGTATTATTAAATTGTAAAAAGTGAAATAGGCGGGATTAAGTTTCATGTCATGTATTAGTTGTGGCTATAAAATGGGAAGTTGGCCATGTACCTAATGACTTGATTAGCATACATGTTTGCTTCATTCAGTGATGATGGCATTTTGTTGTGTTGGACTTGTATTTTCTTGTTCCTGTAGGAGAAGGAAGTTATTAGTCACATTTTTTTGTTTATTGTGCATTGCTGTTTTTTTAAAGTAAAGCGTAAAAACTTACATGGGGAATGTTGTTGAAGACCTCTTTGTAAACTATATTGCGAGTGTGGTGTGTGTAAAGGGTGTCTTTTTCTTTTATCTTAAAGTGAAGTCCTTCTGGTTTGGTAACTCTTGATGCTGCTACGTAGAGTTGGCCATGGGTGAACACAGGATTGGGGAGGTAGATCCCGACATGATTCAAGGATTGACCTTGACTTTTGTTTATCGTCATGGTGTAGCATATGCGCAGGGGATATTGTCTTCTCTTAAGGACAAATGGGTATTTCGCATCATTGGAGGTTATTATTATTCTTGGTATGTCCACTACACCGCATATGTTCTTTCCAGTTATTATTCTTGCACGTATAATATGTTGGCCCAAGTGAGTGATAACCAATCTCGTCCCATTACACAATCCAAGGCCTGGGTTGATGTTTCGAAGCATTAACACAGGTATTCCTTCCTTGAGAGTTAGTACGTGAGGGGGGCATTCCAGGGAATGTGAGGGTGTTGAGAAATTCGGTTGGGTAGCCTACTTCCACATCGTTTGTATCCTGGGATGCTTTGCATATTTCATCGCAGCTCTTGTATGACTTTTCATCTGATCTCCAGGTACTTGTTTGAATATTTGCTGGTTAAGTTCCTCTGCAGTGTCATTTAACGGGGTCAAGTTTGCTCTTTCTTTTAGGTAGCATTCTGTATTCCACTTTTGCTTGAAGTCTGGGTATGTGTGGCTGATTATGTCTGAGATGTGGTCTGATTTTAACATCACACAATGTTCTTTAGGTATCTCTATCCATGTTGGGTCATTCTCGTCTTCTCTGGCCTGTGCTGGCAGTGTGCCATTACCCATTTGCAGTAACCACGTGTTAAAGGCCTTGTTTTTGCTGATTGTTGTCCCATCAGTGGCATTGTCTTGTATTCTCATACTGGTTTTGAGTGTGTAGACAACGCAGCTTTCCCAAATGTATGAGCGGTTCAATGTTGCGAGCACAATATCTAGACGCCTTCCCTTTGTGATTACCGGCAATATTTGGCGAAAGTCGCCCCCCATTAGCATTTTTTACCTCCGAATGGTAGTTGGCCTGCTGCTTTATTGTCAGAGGATACAATATCCTTTAGTGTGCGGTCTACTGCTTCAAATGCTAGTTTGTTTGCCATTGGAGCTTCATCCCATATTATCAATGAGCAGGTTTTCAAGAGGCCTGCCAATTGAGTTTGTTGTCGAACCCCACATGTGATTCCCTCAAATAATTCTATAGGGATATCAAATCTGCTATGTGCTGTGCGGCCACCTGCCAGCAGAAGGGCTGCAATTCTTGCATAAAAGAATTATTGGGTTAAGTGTTGTTGTGAGTGGTGGGTGTAGGTTATATGGTTTGTGTTAATTCTTTTTTGGAATCATATGTTTTTGGTATACTTTATTAAGTTATTTGTTTGTTGGTTGTATTTTTATTTCATGATTGAAATATTTGGATTTATGGTAGTTTTGGTTGTATTATGTTTATTCAAACTAAAAGAAAAAGTGTTTTAGTTTCTGTTAAAATGGTAATTTGTTAAAATAGTTAATCAATCTTCATAAAGTACTGGGCAAGGTCCAGGTCATGTGTAAGGGAGATGTCATACTCCATGTTAGACTCCACACGTATATTAGCCTGAAAACTTGACTCGAAGGTGTGATAAGGGCCGGAGAAACCGTATCTTATTGAATTGGAAGGGATAAGGTACAAAAGGGGGTTGTCATATCTAATACTTAAAAACATTATTATTTGTGATCCCCGTTGCAAAATGGAAACTTTTGAAATACTTATGAGCCACTACTATAGTTCTTTCTTGAACATCTTGTTGAAAAAGAAAAAGATTATCTCCACATCTACAACACCAAGTTCACACAATGAATTTTCAATGAACGAAGGCATTTCATGCGACTACAACGAAGAAAACGTAAAAGAATTCAACACGCTCGATTGGTGGAAGGAGAATGAGCACATGTTCCAGATATTGAGAATACTAGCCAGACCATTATTGTTATGTTGGTGTCAACGATGGTCGTAGAGTGGGACTTTAAATCCAGCAGAAGTACTTTAACCAACTTTCAGACTAGTCTCAACGCTGAATTTTTTGAGACACTAGTGTACAATCGAGATTAGATCTTGGCGAGGTGTCGATGACAAGAGGCGAGGTATGACGTGGATCCAAAGAACTACATGGACACAACAATCACGGAGAAGAGTGATAGTTCAAACGAATGACACACTATTCGTTTTTTATTCTTAATTGATGTAATTTAGTTTTTTAGGTGAGCGACTTATAAAATCCTTTGAGGGTTTCTATTTAGTTCTTTACCTTGTCGCTTTCTTCGAACCATGAGGGTACAAAACATAGTTCAAACTTGTGTAGCATGGAGTATCTATTTCTCGGAATTTTACAAGTAACAACTACATTTAGATAAGTATTTTAGTCATCTACCCTTTATGCTAGAAAAATCAACTTAAAAGGAAAAAATAGTTTTCACTCTGCTTGTAACTCTAGCATTTCTCCTATGTTAATGGAATGTTGAAGAAAAGAGATTAACTATCATACCAAATGACATTAACCAAAACATTTACTATGTTAAAGGAATCTTGATCAAATTGTCATGTTTCAAAATATCCTAGTCTTATCCCTATAGTCTTTTTACGTTTAGACTTTGAGATGACAAAATTTTGTCCCAAACCCGTCTCGAAGCGATTTAAAATGGAACGGAGACAGGACCGGGAGAATTAAAGGTATTATCTCACGTCCCGTCCTCCCATGTATTTATGTATATATAAACTCAAATAAATATTCATTCACATTACTTCTCCTTATCTATCAAATTTTATACAATTTGAAAATTAAAATCTTTTTTTTAATCTTTTCATTGTACTTTCATTTGAGAATTTAAAATAGCCAAATGAGGAGTGGAATTTGCACATTCTCACATTCTCACCCAACCTCCGAACTAAAAAGGTTGAGCTCATTAGGGGGTGAGATTTGTACATGGTCGTCCTTGCACATATTTCAAATCTACTCCAAGACAGAACTAAATCACTATGCTTTGTCCGGGACCTTTCTTAATCTCACTTCCCTCCATCAACTTCCTCACCTTCTCAACTTCTTCCCATTTTCCCTGGTCTGCATAAACATTGGACAACAGCACATAGTTACCTGAGTTCCATGGCTCAAGACTGATGAGTTCCTTGGCAACACATTCTGCAAGTACCGTATCACCGCGGGAGCGAAGAGCACTGAGCAAAGAACCCCATAGCGCCGCATTTGGTTTAAATGGCATGGATTTCATCAGCTCATAGGCCTCCTCCACATGTCCGTTCCGGCTCAAGAGATCAACCATGCACCCGTAGTGCTCCAATGTAGGGTCGATACGGTAATCTTCCATCATCGAAGCAAACAAGTCTTGACCTCTTTGGACAAAACCGGCGTGGGAGCAACATGCTAAAACCCCAACAAAAGTCAACTCATTAGGGCACACGCCTTCGCGTATCATGGTGTCGAACAGTTGAATCCCAAGTTTGGCCTTCCCGTTGAAGGCCAAACCAGAGATCATGGCATTCCAAGAAACTACATTCTTTCCGGACATGTTCTTGAATAACAGAGAGGCTGGCTCAGAATCCCCGCATTTGCAGTAAAAGTCAACCAATGCATTTCCCACTGTCACATGATCTGCAATGAGACCTCTAGAGTCTGCAATAGAATGAATCCAGCTCCCAATTTCAATTTCTCCAAGTCGAGTGCAAATCGGCAGTGTCGTGACCACAGTAGCTTCATCAGGTTCAAACCCATTATTGATCATCTCACAGAAGAGCTCCAAAGCATGCCCATCCATCCCATTTCGTGCCAAGCACGAAATCATCAGGTTCCAAGAAACAACGCTCCTCTCCTCCATTTGCCTAAAAAGGCTCATCCCCATCACCAAATTCCCGCTGTGGAAATACCCTCGAATCATCAAATTCCAAACAATCACATCTCTCTGGCGCATTTCGTCGAACACCCTGTGCGCATCCACCATTCTCCCGTTGCCCGAGTACAGCTCCACGACCCCGACGCAAATCGAGTTGAACCTGTGGAATCCGAGGACAAGGGCCTCTTTGTGGACCGCCTGTCCCAGGCGGAGACCGCCGTGGAGGTCGGTACAGGCTTTGAGTAATGGGGCGAGGGTGAATTCGTCCGCCCAGATTCCGCGACTCTTCATGTCGGAAAACAGAGCGACGGAGCTGAGAAACGGGCCGCGGAGAGAGAAGCCCTTGATCATGGAGTTGAAGAGGAAGATGTTGGGGTAGGGGAAGTGGTGGAAAATGGTGGTCGCGCGGTCCATCTTGTTCTGGGACCCACAGACGGAGACGAAGTGGGAGACGACTTGGTTGGAATGGTGGAGGCGGTGGCGCAGGATGTGGGCGTGGATTTCGTTCAGCCGGGTTCGGGTCTCCTGGCCGTGTAAGAGGCTGAGGACCCGCCGCTCCACCGCCCGGCTGCCCCCCCTCATGTTCCCGCGCCCACTTCACCCCCTTTTCCAATTTTGATGAAGTCAATTGCTTTGCCACCCAGTATTCTGTATCTTTGGTTTGGAAATCTCACTGCGGTCTCCCAGCTAATCTTCCAATTAACGGTAGTGGACTAGTGGTACTTTCTCCATCTGATTGGAATTATGTTTGGATTATTGAAAAATCTGATATTTTTTTATTCGTCTGATTTGATTCTAATAAAATAAGTAATAAATAAAAATATAAGTTGAGGAGGACATGGCTTCTTGGTAATGGAAAAAAGATTATCATACTCCCTCCGTTCTAAAACTTTCTTTCCAGAACACTATTCCAACTTCACGGGAATTTATATTTATTTGTGTTTTTTCATTGCCTATATGATAAAATAAAATATTCTTGTCACCACTTGTTTTGTTGAACTTTTGATGTAATTTTTAAATATGTATGTTTTATTTTTTATTTCTATGCCAATATTTAAATAATATAGATTGCAAAAATTTGGGATTTTTCTTCGTTTTGCGCAACGGGAAGAAAGTTTTAGAACGGAGTGAGTAATAAGTTACAGTCCTAGTAACAAAAAAGAAAAAAATACTACCTTCGTCCCCGTATATTTTTCTAATTTGACTTTTTCGAGTCAAATTGGATAAACTTTGAACTCTAATTATTCTCAATTTATATTGTATATTAATATAATGAAATATAATTTTGAAAGTTTTTAATAAATCCAATAAAGTCATTTTTATGTTAAAATATATTATGCTTTTATTTAATTTAAGCTCAAAATTTGTCCAGTTTGATTCAAAAAAGTCAAATTGGACAAATACACTGGAACGGAGAGAGTAATAATTGTGCTTCAACCAATTAAATGTTTTGTCTCAATGAGCATGTTATGCTTCTCTAACCACACTACTCTTTTTAACCGCTCTTCTACGTCACCTAACTTTTTCCCCTTCCGTAATCTCCCCCATTAGCGATGCTATATATAAATGGCACTTTGTAAATGATACATTCTGTGAAATTTTTTAAAGTAGATTTCAAATTCATCAGTGTAGTAGTATTTGTTAAATCTCAACATTTTGAGCGCTGGAGTGAGGCTCAAACATTGAAGGTAGAGAAGTTTTAGGTCGTTTTTTTTACCACTATGAGCCTGTTTGGGAATAGCGTTAGAGATTAGCGTTAGCGTTTTGGATAAAATTTTAACGGTTCAGATTAATTTGAAAACGCTAACGCTAAACGCTGGCCGTAGATAGCCTTTTCAAAACGCTAATCGCTAACGCTTTTACCAAACATGCCCTATGTCAATAGTCAACATGTTTAGCTTCTACTAACAATAACATTAAATATCCGTATCAATGGTTGTCGATGAGAATAATCCATAGTCGGTGTAATCCGTGAGGGCACAATAACAAGACTTTACATGTACCCCAAAATTTGTACTCCATTTGTACACTAAAGGTATGCATCAGTATTTTGATGGTTCACACTGATACAAAGTGTTAGTGTGTTAACAAAAATTTATACCGATACAAAGTATTGGTGCGTTAACAAACATTAACATTACACCAACACAAAATGTTGGTACATCTCTGCAGTGTACAAAATGGGATACAAATCCATGAAATACAAATAGCTTTATCCGCTCAAGTGAAATAGATGTAAAAGTCAGTTAATAAGCATGTACTCTGTATTACTCCTTTACAATAACAACAAACTCAATAAAATCTTACTAGTAAAAAATAAGGGGCGAGGAATGTGAATATACACAATCTTACGGTCAAAAATCTGAAAAATAATTTAAATTAACAAAGCCCAACTAAATACATATTCATCCATACTTTATTTAAAAAGCCATGGATTCTCAATTTGGTTTTTCCGCCCATTTGGTTTTCCAATAAAAATGGTAATTGTTCACTTAAAATGGTAATGACTCAATTAAAATTATAATAATTACATTACGTAATTAATTATGTTTACACGGCCAACCTAATTATGACAGTCGATGGAAATTAATGTTACACGCTTAAACAATAATAATACTAACGTTATTAATTTAACTTGGAAATGACTAAAAAGGTAAGTAATTCAAATTGATAATTAACGAGAAATCTACTTACCTTTATTGTAAACAAAACAAAAAATCTACTTACTATTTTCGGTTAACAAAACTGTAATTAATTAAACGAGCAATTTAAATTGGTAAATAATTTTAAATTGGCAATGATTAAAAAGGTAAGTCATTTAAAGAAATAATAATTCTTTTGCACGGGTCATTAATGTTACACGGTTTTGATTCATTCCCATTTCTGAAAAACTTACCAAACATGATTATAAAGAAATAATAATAATACTGACGTGATTAATTTAAATTGGAAATTATTGAAAAGGTAAGTAATTTAAATTGGTAATTAATTATTACCAATTAATAATAAAGGAACACCGAAATTTATAATTTCATATAGTATAAATACACTACCTTACCGGACCAGATATAATCAACGAGTGTTTAAACAGGGAGATGGGTATCGGCAGTTGCACGAGTGTTTAAATTAAACGAGTGTTTTAATTAATCGGTGTTCCACCATCGTTTTTTGTACGAACATGAGGATGATTACCGCTTTAAAAAATGTTGATGGAAGTTCTGGATTATTGATGATGAAGCTAAGAGCGGTTAGAGTTTACCACGTTCCTGCTCATTCTCGAGGGCCGGAATCATTGGATATTGTTTTCCACGACTCAGAGGTTAGTTTCACATTATTTTATATTTTACATATAATAAATCTTTAAACAAAAAATATAAATTTAATTATAGATTAACGTTTTATATTTGTTGTTAGGGCGATCGGATCCATGCTCAAATCAAAGATACTAATATATGCACATTCAAAGAAGATTTGCAAGAAAATGCGGTTTACTTAGTCATGAGGGTCAAGGTTATACGCAATTTCCAAGGCACAAAAACTATCAATCACCCTTGCATGCTACAATTTTTGGAAGGACCAAGATTCAAAACTATCGAAAAATGGCCGGATTTCACTACTAAAATAATTGCGAACAGAGGGGGAGAAGTTCGCCTCTAATTCTACATAAACCGCCGCTATTCAAGATATAGAGTGGAACTAGAGGCAGACTGCGTTCTGCCGCTAATCACGCCGCTGCTAATTTTAGAGGCGGAAAAGTCCGCCACTATTTTCTACAATTTAGAGGCGGAAAAGTTTGCCTCTAAACTAGAGGCGGAACTGTTCGCCTCTAAATCAGAGGCGGAATTTTTCGACGCTTAAGTAGAGGCGACATTTTTTGCCTCTAATAGTAGAGGAGGACTTCTTTGCCACTACCTTTCTAATTCATTAGAGGGGGGATAATCTGCCTCTAATTTTTTTTATATTAAAAAAAATATAAATAATTATAATATTCTGAATACAATATAGAACAATACAAATAATATTCAACCATTACACAATATCATCTTTTCAAAAACTCACAAGACATA